GAAGCAATTTCATTTTTTTGGCAAAAATTGAAAAATATGCAAGGGTTTTGCCTTACATTTTCAATCAAATTTGGCCAAAATTGACTTTTCTCCAAACAATGCAGTAATTCCTTTGGAGGTAAGAGGAGCATCAATCAACATTCAAACTCCAAATATTTTGAAGATTTGGGGCAAAAACAGTCGATTTGGGGAGAAAACAATTAACATTTTTGACTGATTTTGCCCCAAATATTCGTCGTAATCTATGAAGAAAAGCATAGCTGTACACAAATCGTATCTTAATGTGTTCTGGGATCCCTTGGGCATCTTTCCTGCAAGTTTTAAGCAATTTCATTTTTTGGCCAAAATTGAAAAATATGCAAGGGGTTAGCCTTACATTTTTAATCAAATTTGGTCAAAAATCGACTTTTCTCCAAACAATGCAGAAATTCCTTTGGCGGTAAGAGGAGCATCAATCAACATTCAAACTCGAAATATTTTGAAGATTTGGGGCAAAAACAGTCGATTTGGGGAGAAAACAATTAACATTTTTGACTGATTTTGCCCCAAATATTCGTCGTAATCTATGAAGAAAAGCATAGCTGTACACAAATCGTATCTTAATGTGTTCTGGGATCCCTTGGGCATCTTTCCTGCAAGATTTAAGCAATTTCATTTTTTGGCCAAAATTGAAAAATATGCAAGGGGTTAGCCTTACATTTTTAATCAAATTTGGCCAAAAATTGACTTTTCTCCAAACAATGCAGAAATTCCTTTGGAGGTAAGAGGAGCATCAATCAACATTCAAACTCCAAATATTTTGAAGATTTGGGGCAAAAACAGTCGATTTGGGGAGAAAACAATTAACATTTTTGACTGATTTTGCCCCAAATATTCGTCGTAATCTATGAAGAAAACATAGCTGTACACAAATCGTATCTTAACGTGTTCTGGGATCCCTTGGGCATCTTTCCTGCAAGTTTTAAGCAATTTCATTTTTTGGCCAAAATTGAAAAATATGCAAGGGGTTAGCCTTACATTTTTAATCAAATTTGGCCAAAAATTGACTTTTCTCCAAACAATGCAGAAATTCCTTTCGAGGTAAGAGGAGCTTCAATCAACATTCAAACTCCCAATATTTTGATGATTAGGGGTAAAAAATGATTTTGGGAGAAAACAATTAATATTTTTGAATGATTTTATCCCTAATTTTCGTCGTAATTTATGTAAAACGGCACACCTGTCCACAAACCGCATTTGAATGGGTTCTGGGGTCCCTTGGGCATCTTTCCTGCAAGTTTGAAGCAATTTCATTTTTCGTCAAAGATTGAAAAAAAACCCAATGGGTTAGCCTTACTTTTTTAATCAAACACGACAAAAAGTTGACTTTTCCCCAAACTATGCAGGAATTCCTTTGGAGATAAGAGGAGCATCAATCAATATTCATACACTCAATATTTTGAAGATTTGGAGCAAAAACAGTCGATTTGGGGAGAAAACAGTTAACATTTTTGATTGATTTTGCCCCAAATATTCGTCGTAATCTATGAAGAAAAGCATAGCTGTACACAAATCGTATCTTAATGTGTTCTGGGATCCCTTGGGCATATTTCCTGCAAGTTTTAAGCAATTTCATTTTTTGGCCAAAATTGAAAAATATGCAAGGGGTTAGCCTTACATTTTTAATCAAATTTGGCCAAAAATCGACTTTTCTCCAAACAATGCAGAAATTCCTTAGGCGGTAAGAGGAGCATCAATCAACATTCAAACTCGAAATATTTTGAAGATTTGGGGCAAAAACAGTCGATTTGGGGAGAAAACAATTAACATTTTTGACTGATTTTGCCCCAAATATTCGTCGTAATCTATGAAGAAAAGCATAGCTGTACACAAATCGTATCTTAATGTGTTCTGGGATCCCTTGGGCATCTTTCCTGCAAGTTTTAAGCAATTTCATTTTTTGGCCAAAATTGAAAAATATGCAAGGGGTTAGCCTTACATTTTTAATCAAATTTGGCCAAAAATTGACTTTTCTCCAAACAATGCAGAAATTCCTTTCGAGGTAAGAGGAGCATCAATCAACATTCAAACTCCAAATATTTTGAAGATTTGGGGCAAAAACAGTCGATTTGGGGAGAAAACAATTAACATTTTTGACTGATTTTGCCCCAAATATTCGTCGTAATCTATGAAGAAAACATAGCTGTACACAAATCGTATCTTAACGTGTTCTGGGATCCCTTGGGCATCTTTCCTGCAAGTTTTAAGCAATTTCATTTTTTGGCCAAAATTGAAAAATATGCAAGGGGTTAGCCTTACATTTTTAATCAAATTTGGCCAAAAATTGACTTTTCTCCAAACAATGCAGAAATTCCTTTCGAGGTAAGAGGAGCTTCAATCAACATTCAAACTCCCAATATTTTGATGATTAGGGGTAAAAAATGATTTTGGGAGAAAACAATTAATATTTTTGAATGATTTTATCCCTAATTTTCGTCGTAATTTATGTAAAACGGCACACCTGTCCACAAACCGCATTTGAATGGGTTCTGGGGTCCCTTGGGCATCTTTCCTGCAAGTTTGAAGCAATTTCATTTTTCGTCAAAGATTGAAAAAAAACCCAATGGGTTAGCCTTACTTTTTTAATCAAACACGACAAAAAGTTGACTTTTCCCCAAACTATGCAGGAATTCCTTTGGAGATAAGAGGAGCATCAATCAATATTCATACACTCAATATTTTGAAGATTTGGAGCAAAAACAGTCGATTTGGGGAGAAAACAGTTAACATTTTTGATTGATTTTGCCCCAAATATTCGTCGTAATCTATGAAGAAAAGCATAGCTGTACACAAATCGTATCTTAATGTGTTCTGGGATCCCTTGGGCATATTTCCTGCAAGTTTTAAGCAATTTCATTTTTTGGCCAAAATTGAAAAATATGCAAGGGGTTAGCCTTACATTTTTAATCAAATTTGGCCAAAAATCGACTTTTCTCCAAACAATGCAGAAATTCCTTAGGCGGTAAGAGGAGCATCAATCAACATTCAAACTCGAAATATTTTGAAGATTTGGGGCAAAAACAGTCGATTTGGGGAGAAAACAATTAACATTTTTGACTGATTTTGCCCCAAATATTCGTCGTAATCTATGAAGAAAAGCATAGCTGTACACAAATCGTATCTTAATGTGTTCTGGGATCCCTTGGGCATCTTTCCTGCAAGTTTTAAGCAATTTCATTTTTTGGCCAAAATTGAAAAATATGCAAGGGGTTAGCCTTACATTTTTAATCAAATTTGGCCAAAAATTGACTTTTCTCCAAACAATGCAGAAATTCCTTTCGAGGTAAGAGGAGCTTCAATCAACATTCAAACTCCCAATATTTTGATGATTAGGGGTAAAAAATGATTTTGGGAGAAAACAATTAATATTTTTGAATGATTTTATCCCTAATTTTCGTCGTAATTTATGTAAAACGGCACACCTGTCCACAAACCGCATTTGAATGGGTTCTGGGGTCCCTTGGGCATCTTTCCTGCAAGTTTGAAGCAATTTCATTTTTCGTCAAAGATTGAAAAAAAAAACCAATGGGTTAGCCTTACTTTTTTAATCAAACACGACAAAAAGTTGACTTTTCCCCAAACTATGCAGGAATTCCTTTGGAGATAAGAGGAGCATCAATCAATATTCATACACTCAATATTTTGAAGGTTTGGAGCAAAAACAGTCGATTTGGGGAGAAAACAGTTAACATTTTTGACTGATTTTGCCCTAAATATTCGTCGTAATCTATGAAAAAAGCATGGCTGTCCACAAATCGCATTTTAATGTGTTTTGGGGTCCCTTGGGCATCTTTACTGCAAAGTTGAAGCAATTTCATTTTTTGGCCAAAATTGAAAAATATGCAAGGGGTTAGCCTTACATTTGTAATGAAGTTGATAATTTTTGTAATTGATTTGTAATGAAGTTGATACATTTATAATGAGGTATGTACCTCCTTGCATATTTAGAGGTATGTACCTCTAGGGCGATCAATAATAACATTTGTCCGCAAACCGCATTGGAATACGGTCCCTAGTAGGGGCGATCGCCATGGGGGGGGGGGGGGGGGGGGGAGGGGGGGGGGGGGCAAGGGGGGCACTTGCCCCCCTCTAGAAAAAATCCTGGCGACGTCCATGGCGATCACCCGTAGAGGTATCTTTGGTCATAGGGCGTATGTACTTATTGATCGCCCTTAGAGATACCTCTATGGGCGACCGTTATGATCATCCCAAGAGGTACAGATACTTTTAGGGGCGAGCATTATGATCTATTAAAAAAACTAGGGTCATCTTCTTCGAGAATTCCTCGAAAAAGTCAATGTTCAACCTACCAAAAAAGGAAAACCCGTTGATTAACTCTTTTTCTGTGCAGCTTAAAAACTTGTGAGAGTGTTGAGTATTTTTAAAAGAATTTTGAAGTATGGGCATTTAGCACTAGTGTCTATGGGAATTTTATTGCAGGGTTGCACCCCAGAATACACTGCAATTTATATTAATGTCATTCTTTCACGGTTGCTGTCAATATTACAAATGGTCTTGACAATTTATTTGTTTTTAAGAGATTTTGTTCTCAAGGAGATTTTAATTTGTTTTCTTGGCGATTTTAATATGTTTTCTTGTCGATTTTAATTTGTTTTCTTGCCGATTTTAATTTGTTTTCTAGGAGATTTTAATTGCCAAAAATGCATCTTTAGACGCATCGTTGGAAATTGCCCTCTTCCATTGTTTTCTTCAAAATGACAGCTTGGCAGAATGAATAATTTCACAAGGAGTTTAGTACTATTACTTTCCATAAAACCACGTATGCTTTTCAACAATAATTACGTCAGTTACTTTTTGGATATCCTGCAATGGTCTCCCAATTCGTCCCCAAAACACTCTTTGACTCCAACTTTGTTTCCCGTAGTGTGTAGTTTTGGGAGCGTACTGCTCGACACAATGAATACGAGGTTGGACTTGACGCCATTTATTGTGAAGAGCGCCACCTGTTGTTTGATTATCTTTGATCAACATTAGAGCAGACGACTGAAAGTGATCAGCATAAAAAAAGTCATTTTTTGTAAGTGATTATTTCTTTCTCTTGGTAACTGTCAACGTGGTCAGCTTGCCTTGCATGTATTGGTGGGTAGACTCAGCAGCCCAGGTGGACTACGTTATTCTTGGGGCATGTGGGGCGTCCAGGATTATGTGCTCAAGTCAAAACGGGGCGAAAATCATCATGAATTATGTGTATAGGCTAGCTTGAGTGACTCCAGCTGACATGCTCATATTCATTCACATGTAGCGCTGGAGGAAGGCCTGTGCGTTTCCATGTGGTAGCAAGAGACCCTAAAAAAATGGCCTCTCCCAAAAATTGTTCATTTTCACCTCTAATATCCCACCCCAGAGTTCACCCACATACCTCATACATTCAGCAGTTATTTACGAAGCCTAATGATCGATTTGAAACAAGACCAACAAAAAAAAAGTGAAAAATCTTGACGATTTCGGTGGCTTGTCCGTAAAAATACGCCTGTTCCAACGGCTGTCTTCCATTTTGTTTTGCTAATTATATTAATGTATGCATCACGTGATGACATAAAAAAATCGGCGCGCACGATGTATTTGGGTACCACACCGCTTTCAGGCGCCGCAAGTGAGTTCAATTTTCGTCTGGTGCGTTGCCGTGGAGAGCATTCTCGTTGTCTTGCTTTCCGCGACAACGCACCAGACGAAAATTGAACTCACTTGCGGCGCCTGAAAGCGGTGTGGTACCCACATACATCGCGCGCCCCGATTTTTTGATGTCATCATCACGTGATGCATACATTAATATAATTAGCAAAACAAAATGGAATACAGCCGTTGGAACAGGCGTATTTTTACGGACAAGCCACCGAAATCGTCAAGATTTTTCACTTTTTTTTTGTTGGTCTTGTTTCAAATCGATCATTAGGCTTCGTAAATGACTGCTGAAATTATGAGGTATGTGGGTGAACTCTGGGGTGGGATATTAGAGGTGAAAATGAACAATTTTTGGAGAGGCCATTTTTTTAGGGTCTCTTGCTACCACATGGAAACGCACAGGCCTTCCTCCAGCGCTACATGTGAATGAATATGAGCATGTCAGCTGGAGTCACTCAAGCTATGTATAGGCCTAGTCTGGTTCCGCACCGACATTGTCGGCGTGACGTCTTCGTATTCATGACATGCATGAGATGGGAATCAGACCATTTTACAATTACGGACTATTTCCCATTTAAAATTAAAAAATCCTCCAGAGCCATGAGCCTAGGCCTACTCTGTAAAGTGTAATTATTTGTTGGCAACAAATGTGTGTTGGGTGCGATCTAGCTCTACTGAGTGGAGCGCTGAATTACGGGTACCCCTCCATACAGGATTATGGAGGGGTACCCGTAATTCAACGCTCCACTCAGTAGAGCTAGGTGCGATCCATGGATATCTGGGCAATTGATCCAGCCCACGGCCCACTCTGTTAATCAGTTGATCTTGTCGCCAAGTGTTGACATGGTTGATCACCTTTTCTTTTTAATCATTGCTTTGGAGGGTTGTTTTGAAAAACATGAAAAAGGGAAGTAAAGTCTAGAATTTCCTACAGGATTGACCGATTGTGGAAGCTATGCCAATCAGAGAATAGGTCTATTCTAAACCCTGTAACTGGGCGCTATAACTCCCTTTTTTCCAATTTCCTCTTTGGTTGGTCGTAACCATAGTAGCGTACGTAATCATAGCTGTAATCAGACATGCAACTTTTCCTTGGATCCACTGATTTCCTCGTTTTTTTTTAATTTTCATGAATGCCATTACAAAATGGAAAATAGAAAATACTGTTCTCAGACTTGTGCGGTTTGGAGTTTCCTCATTTTTTCCTAAATCCCCAGTTGCATGCCTGTGTAATCCAGAATTTTCATGAACACCTCGCTTAAAAAGTCATTCTGTTACCTGTTTCAGTCTCATATTTTGCAGTGAACTGTGGGAGCTGCCTGCATCTATTGCTCCATACCAACTATGACGGTGTCCCCTAGTTGCCAGTTGCTTACTTTCAACCCCTCGCAGAGGGCACTGGCCCTCTATACTTCCCTCCGCTAATGCCAAGGGAGAAAAAGCAATCCAAGGCCAAGAGATTCAGAGGTAAGTTGGCTTCTCTAAATCCTTTGGAGGAGCAGTATGATGAATTTGTAGAATTTGATTGAAAGGGAATAAAAATACCCATGGACCACTTAACTGAAACTGTGGATATTAACCCCAACCCCCTACGGTGATTTATTAAAAACCTTCCCTACTCCTGCAAATTCCAACACCATATGGTGAACTGTACAGAAGAACTGTTGGACTCTGATTATTGGTGGTATGCCTAACCCCATGTAAAGCATAATCAGTTTGCTAGTGCAGTAGCCGCAAGTGCAGTAACCGCTATCACCCACGAACCGCCAGCTACATCGTCCTGGGAATCTTGTAGCAATTATGTAATGCCTGTGCACCTGTTTGGCCTAATATATGCAGCGCCCATTCCCCATTCAAAACCTTTCATATTACTTCCAAACCAGACTAAAATTTCATCCAGTAACATATTAGATGCAGCAAGACTTTTGTACTACTTCATGGCAGCTGTTCTGTGGTACGTAGTACGAGTGGGATTGAAAATGGACTGTAATGGCCTGTAAAAGTATCGCATGCACACTAGTTTCCCCAATTTTATTTATTTATTTTTTTTGGGGGGGGGGGGAGATTTTACAAGAATCCCAAGAAATTGTTGCTGGCGGTTCATGGGTGATTACTGATATCAACTCGTTGTGATAATGCGGCAGGTTATCGCGTAGTTACAAGAACCGGCTTTCCCAAGTCTAAGTAAAGTCGTGAAATGATATTTGGGCTTCCAGTTTTATGATAGACATCTGGCAAACTACAATACATTTTGTACACGTGGAACTGTTCATAGACGAATCCCAAATTACCCAATGCAGCATTGAGACCCAGGCTCTCAGTGCTAAGCCACTGTATGAATTGAGGACCTTTTCTGTTCTTAATCCTCTCAACAAAAGACGGCACTGATGGCCTCAGCTTCAATGGCAATTTGAAATTCCTCTCTATCTTTGTAGCTTCTTCAGACAGTGACTTGGTCAGCCAGACAGAGAGTGAGCATTCCAACACTAGCGAGCCCTCCAGCCCTAGGAAGAAACACAAGAAGGCTTCTGCTAAGCAGGTCAGTATACTGTAGTCCATTTACCAAAGAGACACTTTAGGTAATACTGTTACCCCTGACCAGCAGGCCTGTAATCATTTCTCAAATTTGTATCACCTGATGTGATCAGCCTCATACTTAACCTGACACCTGTGGAGAAGCATTCCAGTACTCTACCTACCAATAAAATGCACAATTTTGATCCCAGGAGAATCAAGGATTCTGGATTCTGCTAACATCGAAATTTCAGGCCCACTCACATAAATGTTGGTATATTTCAGATTACTCAAGCAGCAGCTTTTAATTTGTTATATAAAATTTAGTAAAGTATTTTTGTCCTTGATTCTTTTTGTTCTTGCAGGCCGCTGCTAGTGGGAGTACCCCTGATCTCCCCCAGGCCCTCCTTCCGCCCCAGCCCCTCCACGCCAGCCACATCAGTGCAGCCAACCCCTTTGACGACACCCCAAACCCTGTGCCGCGGCCCAGCCACCCGGGCTTCATGGCGCGCCGCATGATGAACCCCCGGGCTATGAACGCGGCACCCCCACCCTTCCCCGGTATGATGATGAACAGTGGCTATCCCCGGGGAGGTATGCCCCCCGGGGGCTACCCGCCGCCGGGACCCCACAACGGACCCCCAATCCATCACCACCCGCCCATGTACAACATGGGTAACCACCAGCAGGGCCCGCCCATATTCATCTGCGGGATCTGTCGGATGGATATCCACGAAGGGGAAGAGACCATACTTTGCGAGAGCGGCTGTAACATGTGGTTCCATCGCGTCTGTACAGGGCTGACGGAGGCAGCCTACTCACTACTGACCACGGAACAGCTGGCTGAGTGGGCCTGCGACAGGTGCATTCGAGAGAAGAAAATTCCCCTGGTCAAAATTAAACCACAACAGGTCATGTTCTCCGCCAGTAATTAGTTTAAGATTGTCGTACCATTAACAGCATCAGGAGTCTGATGTATTCAAAGCTCTGATTGGGTTGTGGCTGAACTAATAGATGTAATCAAGTCCATCAAATTCAGGAATAAAGTGTGCAAAGGCCAATTTGTAGTACATGTAACAGGAAAGATGCTGTGTGAGCCTTGCAATAATGTTTGGCATGAACATTCATGTTGTTTCTTTGCAAAGTTGTGGTAAAGTAAACAGGCAATTGATGGAGGTACAATCTCTTGTTCTGAAATCTTGGTTCTTACAGCATACAATGCCAAGATGAACTCTCAAGTTCAACTTTAATAGCAATGGCATCTGCACATAGGAATGCAGTCAAATCCACACCAGCAAGACACTCCCATGACATGGTAAAATGTAGTCTTGGTCAAAGACTGTTATTTTTGGTTTATATTTTCGAGCATACCCCTGACAAGCGCCCTAGCTTGAATACAGCGTGCATAAGGTATGCTCGGAATATAATAATAATTTGGGGGGCTAATCATTCTTACTCGCAGCTGAGAAGCATTGCTAAAGACGCGGCTACAATGTGGTCGAGTCGAAGGCCTGTAAAGGTGCCTTTGGCAGCCACCATACGACCCTTGTATGACCACGGAGCACAGCCAGACATCAAAAGTGTTTGGGGGTTTTTTGCGGAGGGAGGAAAATCGGAGAGCCCGGAGAAAAGCCCTTGTGGCACAGGAGAGAATTCACGCACAACTCTACTTACGTATGGTCCGAGCCGGGAACGAACCAGGGCCACAGTGGTGAAAGGCAAGTGCTTTATGCACTAGCCACACATGCCACCCATTTAATTTATCCCATCCTGGGTAGCAATGCCGAAGTTCCCAAAACTGGACTTGACCCATCATGTTGATAGCGACCTCTACCACCTTGGTGGCTTTACTGCGCTTGTATCAGGGACGACTGCATTAGAAGAATAAAATGCAACTCCAGTCTTCGTCCAGGACTACATTTTACCATGTCATAGGAGTGCCTGTGGGCCAACACTTAGCTGCCTCCTTCAGTGCAGCACCATTGCTTTGTGCACATTTATCAGACTACCAAAAATGTAACCAACCAGCACAATGGTGGATTAATCAAATAACTGGATAATCGTTGCGGGCCCAGTTTACAATAAATTTATCATCCTCCAAACTACATGTATCAGAGATTCAGGTTTGCTGGGAGATAACGGTCAAGGTTAACAAAGATTTGCCAAATTTTGTACAATGTTATGTGTATATTTTAGTCTGTCAGTATCAGCTATGGGTTGTTTGGACTTTTGAGAGGTTTCCAGTAGACATGTTATTGCAATTCTTTTCCAATTATTATTTGATTGGTAAACAGTCTTAATGTTAATAAAGGTGTTAATTTTTTGTTTCATCATCAAACAATATATATATATACGTGTATGAAGGAATGTTCTGATAATGTGGATTTACGTATAGATAGATGGATCCAGTGAGCACAATGAGAAGTACATGTACATTTGTATCTTTTAAGTGGGTACTACACTTGCATTCATGTTCCATGGTTCCTGAATTTGAGATGCGTGCACATTTTGAAAAACCTATCATTGCTGTGAGAATTAAAAGTGCAATTACAACGTTCACATAGGGTGTACTTCTTCACTATGATCCCTTTGTGGTCACCACATTAGTAGGTCTACACTGTAGTTCACATTAGGTGGAAAGGTACGTTAACAAAACAGGGGGAAAAGTGTCTGAATTTGCAAAGTGAGATGTAAAAAAATGATACTTTGCGATATGGGTGGGCATCGGAACCGGGAACCCAGATACCCGACTGCTGATGTCAGGAACCAGTTCCAGATTATGGAATCGAGTATTCATAACCAACTTTACAAATTACTTAGTAACTTCTCAGACAATGAAAAAAAAAAGATTTTAATGCCATTTGTGGGGATATTTCAAAAGGAAAAAGAGGATAGGGTCTACATGGAATACCAAAACAGATTTCACGTTGATGTGCATTTTAATGCTCAACAGATTAATGCCTGCAAAGGTTGCAGTTGTCGTCAAAAAGCTATTAATCTTTTTAGACAACTTCCGGAATTCGAATTTTGGGGTTGGGTTTCTTTTACAGATACCCGGGTAGCCGTGTTTTACTTCAGTAGGGTACCCGGTTCCTGTACTACCCGTAAATGCACACAACTACTTTGTGATAATTCCTGTTCTGTACTTAAATCGTTCATTTTTCAGAAGATAGTCTACTTCAGTAGTTGGGGAAATTTAGGAGAGAATGGTCAACTATAAAATTCATATAACTACATTTTGTATTTGTACCCTTTTGCATAGGTTACTGAAATATACACGTTAACTACACAAATCTGAAATCAGTTTAACCAAAAAATGTCAAACCTTCTATCTTGAAATATATTAGCAACAAATTCAAAAGGCAACTATTCCTTTTCAAGGGACTCAGTTCTAGTTCCCTCCTTCTCACCTCTGAAATGATTATCATTCACACAAAAAACAATTTGTACATTTTCTGGAATGCATCATTTCAGTCTTTTATTGTTTTATACCAACGGTTGTACATATTTTTTTTGTTAACAGAATTCTACGCTTGTCTGGTGTGCAGAGACTTTCATGTGAAATAATCATGTGATGAAAATGATGTAAAATGTTCATGTTGTATTCGGCCATTGCAAAGTCAATCTTTATCATGCTGTGTCATGTCACAAGTGCAAAAGTAACAATTTGTAATTTGTACATTTTCAGACCTTAGAAACGGACTTTTTGTGATGCAATTATAGCAGGTATTGTTACAGTTGTTTCCCCTGCTCTTCAACCATTTTCGATTTTTTTTTCCTATTGTGAAAGCTACAAAATACTATTGAGTAGTAAGGCCAAAAAAAAAAATAAGTCGGTCTCTGGTCAGCGCGCGCGTCGATTTTAAGCATGCGCGTCGATCTTTTTTTTTTTCCAAAATGTTCCGCGGTAGCTCCAACAGGGCCCTCTATTTCCGCACCTCCTCAATTTTTTTTTACCAAAGAGCACCAAGGAATGGGAAATTGCACCAAGGCAAATGATCGAAAGCACCAAGGCAAATTATGGAGGCCACCAATGTACATGAGGACACCAACAAAAGCAAAATAGTACCCACCTTGTCTGTACAATCCAAGCTGAGGGAAAAAAAAAAAAAAAAAAAAAAAAAAAAAAAAGCCGCGTGGCCGCGTCAATTCCGGAACTTTGGTCTGACCAGAGACCGAATATTTTTTTTTTTTGGCCTAACCTGTAGTATTCATTTCTTTTTCTTGTCAAACTGAAAACATATATGAACATTAATTGTCAATACATGAATGCACAACCCAATGAAGATGTGCTTTTTTGTAATTACGTCATTAGGACGTCATCATGGGTCACGTGACGTCACTTGGAAACGTAGTATATTTGGTACTTGACCCCCAAAGAGGGGTTAGGGTTAATAAAATAAACTTGTATGTTTTACTCTAACCAAAAAAGGTTTTTATTTTTGGCACAAACAAGTTCGGCTCTGTGAGCAGACTGGCTCCCACTCTATACATTACTGATAGATTGGGAGGCCTGAACCAGCCTATGTGAGAACGAAATTCCTGCCCGACAGCCAAACATTCAAAATTATAAAGTAATTATTTAATAATTAAACATGGGCCGATTGTTTTTGGTCGATGTCTCATTCACAGGTGAATAACATTCGTGTTGCTAACTCTTAGTACCGTCCCATATCCTTCAAAAACCAATGAGGGCGGTTTGAAAGATTTTGTAGGATTGAGGAAGGTACAGCTGTACTTTAAACGAGATGTCCCTTTCTATTTGAACCAAAAGGATGTGCCAGTGGTTTCCCACGACGTGGTGGATTTCTGAGGATTCTGGACGTTTTCAGCAAACATCAAGGGAAAAAGTATTCACCCTGTAGTACCTTTATTCACTGGAAGATTAGAGTTTGCGAATTGAGTTCTACTCATTTTCAACTGAAATATAAAGTGTCAAAAAATCCCTGTCATTTTGAAGGGCCTTGTCATGTACATTATGTGTATTTCGTGAAGTCCAAGCACAGCAATCTTCTAATTTTTTTTGCATTGTTTTAATTTGCTGAGGGTAAAGGCTGGTACATACATGTACATCAACAGGAACAAAAATTCTGACGTATTTTTTTGTGGTTGGAATTTGCAAAACACATTTCAACACAGAGTTTGTGAAAACAAATTTGCCTGGTATTCACACGCGCTTCATGTATGAACTGGCCTTTATGTAAATATTATTCATGTGTGTGACGAGAATTTTTGCCAAAATCATGACAATTTTGACACTGGTAATAGAAACATGTCAACAATATATCTTAAGTATTGGTTTATCTTTCTCTATTTTTATGTCTCTTTATTCTCATTCAAAAGGTGGACAAACATATCTTAATATTCATCTTGAAGTATAACATGTACATTTTCGTCCCTAATTTTAATAACGCTTTTTAAACAAAGGATAAGGCTTTGGCCCTTAATTAAACCAAACTCTAAAAAAATAATTAACCGCATGAGACCGTAAGTTTGAAAAGCCATTTATTAAAACATGATTTACAAATTCAGTTTTGTATTTGTTATTAAGGGTTTACACATTTGGACAAGTAAATTTGAAATAAACCTTGTGTTCGAGATTAATGATTGTCCATGATGTTCTTTCATCTGTTTTTGAATGGAAATCAGGCAAATGAAACAACAGTAATAAGCTGGATTATTTATCAGTTCTTGCATTTTACTGGTTTAAGACATGCCACATTCAGAAACGTCAAACATACCTGGTGTGTGTTTTACACTCACAAAAAGAATGGAGAAGTCGAAATATTCTGCACAAAAGCCAACCTTGTTCAACTCATAGAAGATATAATAAGACATTGTAATTTATAGAAAGATTTGGTCTGTCCACTCAATTCCTTAAAACTGTACTTACATTTAGACATTGTATATTTAAGCATATGAGAGAAATCATACATCACAGAGTCAGTCCGGTTTGACTATGGGCTCCGTGCGCGAACTAAAGAGGGCGCCCATTTATCTAGCAACGACGTCCCATGGTCGGGACATGATACATTTCGCTGGTTGACGCGCGCGCATCGTTCCTTTTGTGCGATGCACCTACATCAGGGGATTTGTACTATGTACAATCAGTGGCCGCGGTTCACGGCAAAATATTGCAGTCAGGCAAGATGGCGTCGATCGGTCACCCCCAACTGTACTTTCTTTGCCGGTGAGGGGGACTTGTGAACGGAGCAGATACCACCGCCGAAAGGCGTTGTTAATGTCCCTAACGCTACTGGGAATGCCGATGGTTAGGCAGGAGAGGATGACTGCGCAGGAGAGCACATGATGGGTGGTTTGACCTTCCCCACAGACACATCTGTCGCTATTGCTGAGGCCGATCCAATGCGTGAATGCAGCGTACCTGCTGTGGCTAGAGCGGAGCGGAGCCGGTTCAGCAGCACCCACTGTGTGTGCTCTTTGCAGGTCATGCCCGGCTGGTTTCCTGGTTGGCTTCGGAAGGTACTGACGCAATTGGCAGTCTTCCCGCTGCCAGCGACCATTCCATTTGTTGTTCACCCATACATCAGGTGAAGCTCCTACAGCTTCAGAGCTGAGTGCTTGCATCTGTTGCACAAAAACGTGTCGCTTGCAATTGTGCATACATAAAAGCAATAGACTCCAATGAAATTGTATACTAATATGCATTTCTTGTTAATTAACCCCTTAAAGATGGGGCGTAATGGGGACATTCCTCCACACATAGAGCAAGTGGCCCGCATGACTGCACAGCCTTTGTGTGGTAGCGGGACTGCACAAAAGCAGCAGCTGTGGAACTACCCACTTCCCGTCCTTAAGGGGTTAATAACCACCGTTTTCGGGGCTTGGCTCAGCCTGGTGGTACAGACAACACATAAGGCAAGACGACAGACAGATGTACCTGTTGTGCCCCGGTATCAACTATCAGACTCCAGTCGTAAGAAGTTACCCAATGTGAAAATGGTGGAGTCCACTTGTAGCTCACTCTGCTCCAACCTGCAAATGAATGGAACAGTCTCGTCAGAAGAGCAAAATTCAAATTTACATGATTTTCATCAGTCATCATTATTTAAACTTAACAAATTTGACAAAGTGAAATACGTTGGCACAAAAAATGGCCTTGTTTCGGTTTGACTTTAACAATATTAAAATTCACCATCAAAAGTCACTGATAGTACCAGTAGCTACAAGTATATCAGATTCTTAATGGCCAGCCTACCCCCGCAAGCTCCATGGTCAGATGGTTAAGACACCAGCACTAGTAAGCAGGAGGTCATAGGTTCGAGTCCCAACCTTGTGAATTTTTTCTTCTCACAAGCTATAACACAGCATCAAGTAACAAGTGCTTATAAAATAATGTCGGTATTAAAGGACAAAAAAACAACTTGTTTACCTGTTTCAGCATGGAATATGTTCGGAACAGTATTTCGTAAGGAATGTGCTATTTTCCCAAAATGGATAACATTCCTTCTGAGATGCACAAGTCTCTCAAATCTTGCTGAACTTGAGTATCCCTTTAAGATTTGACTGTCAATTCAACACATAACCACCTGTACTACATTGTATTACACTGTATTTATTCCCTGATGAACACATAAACCATAGAGTGCTGAGTACAGGGAGTAACAGGCAGGGCGGTTGGAGCAGTTCGGGGACTATAATGGGTTATTGACAGTGTTCTCACTTGGACATTTTGCTGCGGTATTTCTCCAGCTGGTTTTTCTCCAAGGGTGTAATCATGTCCTCCACCTCCGCCGTCTGTGATTGGTCGGCTCCGTGGCTCTGAAGCGAGGCCGCGATGGCCTCCACGCGCTGGGATTTCTCAATCAAGCGCCTGCATCAAGAGACAATTAAAGTTAGAGTTGTGAACAATACAAAGTAAATGTAGACTCCACACACAAGTACCCCAAGGGTGAAATTTGTTAGGATTTGTTTACCAGATATCAGGAATTTTTGTTAGGATTTTTAATACGAACACATCCTTAGTCTTAGTTCCTACTTGTTCTCCTTGGTCTCAAATGCTCGTCTGCTGATCACGTTTGCCAAGGACTTGTAGCATCGCTCCAGCAGCATGCGGCTGACTTGGCTGACGTCGACCGTGAAGAGGAAGAAGGTGCGGGACGGGGCGTGGTCGGGGGTCCGCGGGATCTCCTGCATGGTGACAAAATGCTCGGAGAACATCTTGTACAGGAGCTCCTTGGCCTCCTTAGCTGGGATGAGGGCAAACTCCTCCACCTGTAACAACAACATCAGTCATAATATACACTTTAAAAACATGGAGGCATTCCATGAGAATGTTGACATAGCTGAAAATGGAAAATTTATTACAATCTTCAAAATTACAAGTACCATGACCTCAAATGTGATGTCAAATTAAAGGGGACAAGACCTTTCATATGATTGATGTGCCGTGAGATGGAATATGGTTAAGTGTATATTTTTGTGAGCAGACTTGCTCCCGTTCCATTCATTATCGATACTGGTTGTGAGGCGGGAACCAGCCTACCATATGAGAACGGAATTATTGTCTGCCAGACAACAATTCAAATTGTCAAGTAATAATTTAATAACTATAAAACATGGAGCGATTTTATAGGTCGATCTTTCGTTCAAAACTGAATAACTGTTGTATTGCTAAAAAATAGCATTTCAGAAAAGGACTTTTTTGGATGAAATTTAAAAATCATGGGAATCCATCTTTTAATACTTGATTTATGAGATTCCCTGATGTTCCAATCTCAAGTGCGTTACTTCTTGGCTACTTTTTATAAACTGACCTGTTTCTGTTCCAGGTACTTCTTGAGCAGTAACGTCTTGAAGATACGGAAGCTCTTGGAGCCAAACCTCTCCTGCACAACTGACTCTATGGTGGAGACAACCAGAGCCTTGCAGGCATTCTGGAAATCTGTACATATTACTGGTCAAGGAGAATCCCATTATAAAAACGGTCAAATTCACCCACAGTCAAATTCACCCTCTATTCCAAATTTGGAATAAGGGAATAATAATGTGAGGATGGAGCAATTGTGTGGTTTAAAACCAGTTACAGGCATTCAAGCAGACCAAGGTGAAAAAGTAGGACAACAATAGGACCAAATTAAAAAAAAACCAGGACAAAAGTAGAACTTTGGAGGACAAATCAGGATACAAGTAGGACTTTTGCAGGCTTTCAGGAGTAGTTTTTGTTGATACTCTGAAATGTTTTCATGGGCCTGAATTCCAAGACTATTTTAGACAAATTTCATCCAAGGATACCGAGGGTATATGAGCCACCTCCAGTCTCGCCCACCTTGGTCACGATGCTAGTCTGTGAGAAGAAAAAGGAGGCATGCAAATAAAATAATAAATAACATGGTCCAACCTATTGATGAGATGGTGACTCACAAGAGCTCAAACGTTATATGTTTACGATAAACTCTTCAAGAATATGGTTTAAGAATGCACAACAACTGCACGCCAGCGTGGCTCTACCTCAACCCTTCCTCTTCGGCTGACAAATTCAGCTATGTCATCACAGCAGTCAAAATCAATCAAGTGACTGTTTTTAACAGTTTAGAATTCCCTAGTTAATTTGATAGAACCAAGCTTTGACTGGAGGTGATTGATATGCCAGATGTACCTACAGTCGAGTCTCATTAATACAAACTCGTTCGGACCTAGCCAAATTGTTTGTTATATCAGATTTTTGTATTAAGAGGAACATCAGTCCCATTCATTGTGTACATACATGTTTTTGTAAATGCACAGTCGGGACCATGGCTTTATGTTTGTTATAACCAGAATGTTGTATTAACAGAGTTTGTACTAACGAAAGTCGACTGTACCAATTACCTCTTGTCTGTTGACGGAATATGACTAGTCATAGTGTTCATACAAATGTGATCTGGCTGTTTTTTACTGGTCTGTATACAAATGAAGTGGAATAAATTTATATTTCCCTTCAAAAGATCAACTTAGTCTTGAAAAGATTAAGGAAATGATCATTGATTTTCGGTCAGGGAATCATGAAGTTTTGCTGCTCTGTATCAATGGGACTGAGGTGGATAGGTCTTCGTTGTTCAAATTTGTGGGTATTTTTTTTTTTCGAATTCTTTCGGTGGGCTGAATATGTTGATTGCTGTGTGAAGAAGGCGCAGCAGCGGTTGTACTTTCTTCTCCATTTAAGAGGCTTTTGGGTAAGCACTGATGTTCTAATTATGTTTTATCATGCTGTCATCGAGAGTGTTCTCACACTCTCTATCACAGTTTGGTACGGGAACATTACGTTGACGGCAAAAGGAAAACATCTTGTGTAGTTGACACAGATACTGAGATTATTGGTGGTCCAATGACTTCAATTGACGGACTTATGAAAGGACTTGTGATGGACTTGTGATGGACTTGTGATGGACTTGTGATGGACTTGTGATGGACTTGTGATGGATTTGTAATGGACTTGTGATGGACTTGTGAAAGGACTTGCAACTGGACTTGTGATGGACTTGTGAAAGGACTTGCAACTGGACCCGTGAAAGCACTTGTGAAAGGACTTGTGAAAAGACTTATGTGAAAAGACTTGTGAAAGGACTTGTGACTGGACATGTGATGGACTTGTGATGGACTTGTCAAAGGACTTGTGATGACTTGTGACCGACTTATTGACATATTTTCAACTCCGACCGTACATGTCCCAATCATGATATTACTTTTACCTGGTCATCTGAAAGCAGCTTGAAGTACTGCTCCACGACACCAAACTTCATATTGTTCTCCTTAGGCAGATTTCTCATGGTGTCGTTGAGAGAGATTGGATGAGAGGTCTTGTCCTCAAGTCCCTTGGATAACTCGCTGATCCTCAGCATCGTGCGCACCACCTCTGCTGCATTCTGATGCAAAAAAACATTTGGCAAATATTAGTCCATCAGCCTCGGTCCAAAATTTTGGCCACCGGTATCAAATAAGGGAATAATCGTCATAGCGATTTTTGGCAAGGTATACACCTCGAGAATTGGAAAATATGTGATAGCATTGCAGCGGTGGCAGCTTTTTGGATGTTATCACCCTTTTTTCCAAAATGGCCATCAAAATGCTTACTACCACTCTAGGGGCGGTATACCTTGGGCATGCGCACTATAATCATTTATGCCCTGATTTGATACTGACCAAACCCCCAGGCTGATGGCCTATATCAGTCAATTTCTACTTCCTACCTCCGACCGGCAGGCTCATAGTCACTCCTGCAGTGATAGGGATAATGAATGGTCAAATCAGGCAGTCTGTGTTCCTGGCAATAGTCAAGCTCTACGCTTAAAGGTTTTTATTGTACTAGTACATGGACCTACCCAGTCTATCCTGCGACTCACGGCCTGTACGATCTCGTGGTCAAGTAGGTACTTGTGGAAACGGTCAAAGTTCAAATGCCAAAGGATACCCTCGTCGGCTGCATGCTGCAAAAAATAGACAACAGCACTTCATTTAAAGACACAGTTGAGTGATAACAATTGGACATTCCCATTTGTGAAAACGAACAGCGTTGTACACTGTTACAAAGCTCTTTTACTGCTTTAGGCAACAACATTTATATCTCAAAGCTTGACATTGATGTGGCTATATTAGAAAGTATTCGTCAGTAACCTAAAAGTTTCAATTTTCTTTTAAATCTGTGTGACATATGAACAGGCTTTGAAGTTAGTATTAACCATAAACGTCGCGGCCCTTTTGGCTAGGACCATAGAGCTATATTAAATTACTAGAGCGCTAACTCGATGTACAAAGAGATGCCTGATGGGAGCATCCATGTTTGTACACAAACCTATGGAAAACTCAAAATTTTGTACGGCTTTTGTACGGTTATTTGCATATCTGCATTTGCATTCCATACCGGTGCGTCATCGAAGCCGATACGCCCAAAACCAAAATGCACAATCAGCAAATGAGCATTTCTTTTTTCTCTACGCAAACAGCGCAACGCGTGTGCGTATTCGCTGCAAATGCGTTTTGCCGTGACGTTTTTTTAACTGTCTTGACGCGTTTAAGTTGTTTGCGTATGTTCCACTTGCGCGTTGCATGTAGAGTACCTTTTTAAAATTCAATCCATCTAATTTCATTGTGTTCTTCAAACACGCACATGAATTCAAAATATCTGCGCCCAGGACGGCTTCAAAGCGTCTCCGCGCGCAAGAGGAGTTAGCGCTCTAGTAATTTAATGTAGCTCTATGGCTAGGACCCATCCTCAATCCATCAAAATCCTCAAATCGCCACTATGTAACAATTTTGATACAACCTCAGTCCTCAAAAATCATCAGTTATTTCTTGCATTTGTTCAGCGGAGGGCTGACCACTGCCTCAATCCTTCAAAATCCTCCAGCAATTATTCCATACAATCAGGAATTGCCAACGATATCAAGAAGCAGTGCAGATGACATCTAGTAGAGTCTAGGCACACTTTATGCTTGGCTAAGCATAAACAACACAAAGTGCAGCTAAAGACCATGATACAACACATCCTCAAAAATCAACTGGCACTAAAATGGTATACAGCGTTAACCCTCCAAAATAAAGGACTGAAGAAGGTTAGGCTTAATTTGACTTATTGAAGGGTGATCTGATCTTTTGTCTCGAAATGTCACCGACTCGTGACGAAGAACTGCATGCTTTTTTATATTAAGGCAATTGATTACAAAACTACGTATAAGTTCAGCTTTACTAAATTTGACAGAATTTTAAAACAAAGGTTTTTTTTGCACCTCTTCACTGTCAATCTTCAGCCTCTTGCTAGAGCTCTGTGGGTCACTGTCTTCTGTTGATCGTTTCCGTTTTGAGGTGTCAGATTCTCCTCCTGACAAAAGTAAAAGAGAGTTTTGAAATTTTTGAAAACTTTTTGAGTGGTATTCAAAACTATGCATTTTGGCCAGGGATCATGCTCAAAGTAACAATGCTAACAACATTAGAAGTGCTCTAAATCTCTGCAATGGCACTCAGAATTAATCCAGACAGGAACAGAGTTTTTATTACAAATTTGCAGCCAACCCACACAGGCAATCTGTCTGGGGACACCTTTGACACTCCATATATGATTGAAAAAAGAAATTGACAAGAGTGGGGTCTGAACCTGTGACCTCCGGAGTACTGGACAGCCACTTTACCAGCTAAGCTATCCAGCTATGGAGCGAAGGTTAACAGCTTGTTAAGATGAACAAAGATGCAGATCAGGGCTTACGGGTCACTTCAATGCTGGCGGGCACCCTGTACAGGTCTCGTTCGCTGATCGTAAGTTCAGGGAAGGCTGCTTTGTTGTTGTCAGGGGGCGGGGCCGGTACCCTCTGCAGGAAGTGGGTGTTGATCAGGTCCTCCATCTTACCCTTGACATGGTCGTTGGTGACTGACTGCCCGCCTGGTGCAAAAAAGACAAACATTATCTAACAAATTCTACATGAAAATGTTTATGAGCTGATTTTACTACTGCAGCAATGAAGTTCAAGTACTACAAAAGCTACAGTCTCTACTACATTGGGACAAGTTAATTACTAACTGGCTATCTGTTAAATGCTAGAATGCACATACTGGCACGTATGTGAATATGAAATAGCTTGAAACCTAGCCTTCATAGTGAGGGAACTGAAGACACCATGTGCATCTTCAGCTAACAAAGCTGGTAAAGATAGAGCATTCTTAAAGGATCCCTAAAATGAATTTTTGTTTCTACATATTTTGAGTAACTTTCTGCTCCTCTTAAATGTATGAAAACCATTTAACATCCCTTTTTGGTTAATTTTATCGAAAAGTGCACTTCTTTAAACATTTAAAATTGTCCATGCTTTTCAAGACAACTGAGGGCACTGTTGCTGTGATGTCATTTCAGGAAGACACTGTTCAGTTTAGGGCTTTTCTGTTGTGAACCCAACAATTTGCTCATTGGAAACATCTGGGAGAAAAGTTTGCTCACTGGCTTACTGCCATGTTCAGACACAACAATGAATCAACAAAGACAAGAAAATTTACGACAGAAAAATATCCAAAATTCTGGCAACTTTTTGTGCAGAAATAGCTGTACATTGAGATAACATTGAGGTTTCTGCTTGGAATGACATCACACATTTGCTCATAAATATGGAAATTTACATTACCATAGAAATGCACCAAAATACCCTTGGCAAAACAAAAATTGAAAGTAAGGTTAAATGGGATACAAAGCTGCATTTCTAAGGATCGCATTAAACAAATAACATTGCATAATTTCATTCTTTGGCGTGTTTTGGAGTACATGTATGTACTAGCATCAGCTAAAAAAAAATGACCCTTTCTTTAACATCCACTAGCAATAGGCCGAGTTGACATTCATTGGCTTTCGGTTTTTTTAACCTGTGGCACATTCTTTGTGCCTTAACTTTAAACAGGCATCAGGTTCCAAGTAAATTTGTATTACCTGGGCTGTTCCTTCAGCAACCCAGTAAAATCTTTTGAAACCTCCCCATGAATTTCAAGGTTTTTGCGAGGGCTAGGGAAATATCCCATTGGTCCGTGTACCACACCAACCCACCCAGCCTATTACGCCCTGTACTGCCCCAAACTAACCCAGCACTGTTTGGTTTTTATAGATTCAGCAGGGAAATAAAATGAAGTACGGGTGCTACTGGGATTTATATGAGCCTCCAGACTTAACAATAGTCTGACCCCTTTATCGTACAAGTCATGATTGACCCTCCTATGCAAACATACATTCTGTGCCAAGTTGTCCTTTTAAATAAAATCAGTCAAGTGACTGTTTTCAACAGTTAAGAGCTCCCAGTAGCCTACATAAAGCAGGACTGACTGGCTGTGACTGTTTATGTAACTTGACACAGCTATGCTTTGGCTGTAGGTGATTGATAAGTCAGCTGTGCCCACCACTTGCCAGTTTTTGTCTGTTGACTGAGTTTGACTATTCACAGTGCTTGCTTGAAATATGATCTGACTGTTAATGACTAGCCTGTATAAAAGGCATGGCAGGGGAAGATGATTGATTTTTTGCCTGTCTGTGGTTCAGATAGTAGGAGGGTTAATTTTACATTGCAGATCTCATACCTTCTGACAGCCTCTGTGTGACCCGCCCCACCACCGTGCTCATCCTCATCTGACCGTGCTGAAGGATCTCTTCCACGATCAGCTCCCCCGCATCCCCGTACAGCGTCTTCGCACAGTAGATGTACCGTGGGTATCGCACCAACAGCAGGACCTGCTCCACGCTGGCTGCGTACTCCACAAAGCCACGCTTGTGCAAGCCAAAGGAGGCAATATTGTGCTGGACGAGGACGCACAATGCTTTACGCACCTGTCGGACATTGGTCACAAAATATTTTTAAGAAAGTTGGGCAGAGCAGTTCTGTATGCAGACAATCTTGTGGTAACAGGCATGCATCTGGGAATTTACAAAAATTGAGGACATTGCAATCCACTTAAGATTTTGTATAGCTCTTTCAATTTGTAATGGCATTCATGAGAAGTAAAAATGTGCAAATATATGTGCAACATGCAAAACATGAAAATAGAAATAGATACATTAGCTTGAGTGACATCCAGCTGACATGCTCATCAGGAAGTCACATGTAATGCTGGAGACAGAACTACCGGTACGTTCATACCTTATACGTACATACCTTATAACAATGCAGCAGTCATATCGAGAAGCTAATTTATGCCGAGTAGGACATCCAACAGCCATCGGGTCAGAAGTACATTCTGCATATCCCTATAGTCCATTGGCGTTGACCCAACGGCTGTTGGATGTCCTATTCATCATAAATAATCAAGGAATAATCTGATTGGCCGAGCGGCACAAGCACCCAATAACCACAACACAGCCATGACAGTGTGGTACTGGACGGTTTTTCTGCCACTGAAATCATCAATATTTTTCATAATTTCGTCACTTTTGTTCTGATTCAAGTCGATCATTAGCTTTGTGAATGACTGCTGCATGGTTATGAGGTATGTAAATGGAATCTGGGTTGGGATAAAAGAGGGGAAAAAGACTGTTTTTTAGGGTCTCTTAACCCTCCGCAGAGTGACCTGGTTCCATTTTGTGATCAGGTGACCGAATTTTTTGAATAAAAAAAAAAAATTGAGGGCCAATGACGGTCATCTTCCATCTAATCCTCATTCAACCCTTGCCAAATAATCTGGTTCAATGAACTTTGCAGCCAGGGCTTCACCCAGGCCGTGTCAACAAACTTTCGACCAGGCCTCCTGCCAAGTCTCATTGAAACATATACAAACACCTGTAACTTGACACAGTCATCTCCCTTCATAGCCTAAGTGCACTGTCTGGCAACTACCTGGACACTGTCTGGCATGTTGCTTTTTGTTGTTTTGACATGAATAGGGTCTTGCCTAGTGCGGGGAAGTACCTGTGGCCCAAAGGGGCCCCGTTGGCTAGTGCAAGTACCTGTGGCGAGTTCTGATAAACATTTTTTGTAAACGCTGCGCAGGGTTAAGATCTCACTTTTACAACAGAGTTTTGTCTCCACTCTTCAGCCAGCGTTACATGTGAATTCCTGATGAGCATGTCAGATGGATGTTACTCAAGCTATATGTGATACAAAATAATGTCTTCCGGTTGATTTAAATTTCACTTGGCTTGGTTAATAAATTGTATTTGTGACCTGTAAAGTACGATGAGGTGTGGCAAAATATAATCCACTATATAAAAAGTAAGTGGAAAAAATGTTGCAACCTGACACCACTTTTTTCTTCATATAAGTATGTATCATTTCAATAAAGGTCATTTATTGCAAAAATGAAGATACCGGTAATTAAGACATGACCCCCCCCCCACATTTTTTCCCACTAAATTTTATTATTTTTCAATATTATTTTTAATTAACATTCATTCCAAATGCTGACATCGTTTCCAGGCGCGGACCCCCCCCCCCCTCCCCAACCTAAGACAACCTTTTGTCAATATTGATTACCTATTGTGTAATATAGTGTCAATGATGGGTGATCGTGTATCTACATTGTACGGACCCGGCTCCTATCCACTTTCAAATTATGTCATAGAAGAGGGCAGGGTTTTGAATCTTTGAGAGAAATTCGGGCGTAAAATGACGATGACAACACAGCGACAACATGCAACCCGAAAATAAAGATGGCGCTCACCGCACGATGTACCGTGAGCAGCACGCACTGTGCGCTGAATCGCATGGCACCAACCGGCAGTAAATCGCGTAGGAAAATCGTGATTTTTCCCTCAAGAAACAGTTTAAAATTGCAATAAAAAATGCAAAAAGGGTGTCATTAGAATTGAAAGAAGTCTGCTTTTGATTGAAAAGGTGATTTTTGAGCAATAAACAGCATCTTTGACTTTAATTTGATCAAAACAAAACAGGGGCCCTACACTACACAATCGCCTAACATGCCTAATGATGATCAGTCGACTTTGAGCATGTTGAACACTGTCCCCATTGAAAGTATGGTACAAGCCCCCCCCCCCCCCCCCCTTGATATTACGGAGGCCATATATCTGGAGAAAAGAACCTGTCTACATTTCAGCAGTGATTTGCTGATGACCCCCCCCCCCACACCCCCGCAAAAAGAAATGGATCCGCCCCTATTTTTGTTTTGTGTGTGTCGTAAATACACGGCTAACTCATGCAAGTTCACACAAATTCAGATCTAACTAACCTGGTCAATTTTGAGCCCGGTTTCCTGAGCTGCAACTCGCAAAGGTTTGGCTCCATTCTGGATCAGATGCGTGCAGACCTTCTCTACAATGTCACCAAAATGTTCTTTGATGAGAAGAGAGCACAGGTGAATTTGACAGACTGACATTCTGTAGTCCAGTTCCGTAGCGAACATGCGCGGTATGGAGCCCTGCAACACCTTTACATGTTCTTCCGCGTTAATGAAATTAAACATTATAAAAACTATTTGAATGCAAAATAGTTCACAATTTCATCACTTTGAAATACAAATATACAGAAATCAATATTTTTACGTTTTAAAACAATATTTGTTCGTATCTTTATTTTGTTGGAGGAAAATCCATGTGTGCGCGGATCAATACCAAAGTGTGGTTGATCGGGGAAGCGGCCAAATTTCAAAATGGCGACTTCGCACTGTCGACTGCTCGTGTTTTTGCGGAAGAGTGCAGACGCCGTACCACAAAAGGCGAATTTTACACAGGTTTGTTCTTTCAAAAAAAATAACAGGTGATCCTTTCGCCACATATTTGATGAATGATTTAGTCTGCGTTTGTGTGTTGTTCCCGTAGGGTATGTGGGGTTCTGATCGTATCGATGATCATTTTATGTTGTGTTTGGAGTGGGGAATCTATGGAAGTGTAGGTGTTGTGCCCATTCTTGAAAATCACGCAATCTTAAGAATGTGCGCGCATTCTTAAGAATGAGCGCCCATTCTGAAGAATAGATAGGACATGGTTAAAAATAAATCTAATTCGTACGTACGAATTACCAAACCGTACTTACGAATTACTAAACCGTACGTACGCATTACTAATTCGTACGTACGAATTACTAAACCGTACGTACGAATTACTAAACCGTACGTACGAATTACTAAACCGTACGTACGAATTACTAAATCGTACGTACGAAATAATTAGTAATTCGTACGTACGATTTATTAATTCGTACGTACGATTTAGTAATTCGCACGTACGGTTTAGTAATTCCAGTGGCGTAGCCAGGAATTTTCCAGTGGGGGGGGGGGGGGGGGGGGGGCGCGGGTGGGCCTGGAACATTTCAGGTGGGGGGGGGGCGTCATGTAGATCAATGATAATTTTTTTAAGGTTTCATGGGGGGCTGTCGCAGTGGCGTAGCCATGGGGGGGTGACAGCCCCCCCCCAATGAAACCTTGTCGCCCCCCCAGTCGCCCCCCCCCCCCCCCCCCCCACTGAGATTTTGAGTTTCTAAAAAAATTATCATTGATCTACATGACACACCCCCATGAAATGTACCAGCCCCCCAGTGCCCCCCCCCCCCCCCCCACTGAAAAATTCCTGGCTACGCCACTGCCCCCAGGCCCCCCCCCTCCCGTGGCTACGCCACTGAGTAATTCGTATGTGCGATTTATTAATTCGTACGTACGGTTTAGTAATTCGTACGTACGGTTTATTAATTCGTACGTACGAATTAGTAATTCGTACGTACGAATTAGTATTTCGTACGTACGAATTAGTTTTATTTTTAACCATGTCCTATCTACACTTCCATAGGAATCCCCGCCCGGTGTATTTCGCCAGACCCTTTCTGTTTTAAAGACAGCTTAATCCGCTTTTTGTTTTTGGACTCACTTGACGCTGATAATTGATATAGATTGTCCGACTGACAGGGACTAAACAAAAGGCCGCAATTTGTTTTTAAATACAATCTTTGATTTAAACATGGCCATTTCATCAATTCAAGGTTAACTTTATTTTCACAATTTCAATGTAGGCCCAAGGCCTAATGTATAATTGTCCATTTTCAAGGGGGTTCTTGTGCCTTTTTGGCAAGTATGCTAATGCAAATCTCCATATTCATGAGCAAAACTGTATTTAATTCAAGGCAGAACTTCAATCACTTAAGGCACCAGAAGTTGCCTGAGGTAATTGTTCTCGTTTTTTCGTGATTCGTTGTTGAACTGGAGTTACTCATGGGAGCATGCCGTACAATAAACCTTCTAGTTCTACATTATTATTTTGAAGATGCAATTTATTGAAAGGTAGGCCTACATGTATGTACTGATGATTCAATATTTTTTCAGTGTATACTGGATTATTTTGGAGCAAGCGGAAACACAACGAGTCTTAGTTGTTCCCTGGATGACAACAAACTGGTGGTGTCTCAGCCAAACAATACATCAGATGGCATCATCATGAAGGTAAGTTAAGCCCTCACATGTCCATCAAAAGTCGATCACAGGTCAATTATCAAAAGTTATCCAGTCCAGAGTCAAGTCACAAAATGTTCAGATGAACTTTGACAAAGGTATACCTTTTTGTATTGACCATAAAATGTGACTACTCATCTCTTTCTCCTCGGACCACTGATGGGCTTTGGATGGACTCAAGTCTAAGTAGCAAACTACTTCAAGTATTGCATATTCCCAGAGTGATTTGCTCAAGATTTGCTCCGTTATGCCCATAATATTAGTCAAGAAGAAGTATTCTTCCCTCCTATGCTGTGATTCTCTAAGTGTTTTGTCATTTTTTTGACTGGCCAGTTCAGATGTGGTGAAGAAGCGGGTATGCCTAGCCTGTCAATGACTTGTGAGATGGAACTTTACATCGAGAAAGAAATAAGCTTTAATTTGGTTTTTCCTTTCAAAGTTTACAAGCGAAATTTCAGAATTAAACAAAATCCTGTGTTTGATTATTCCTCCCAAGCATCCTCCATTCTGCCCCTTGCACAACCTCCAATCAGACCAAGCCGCTGACATTCCAGAGAGCACACTGCATCGTGGGATAGATGTCGGAGTTGCAACCCTCCTGTGGTCGTCAGATCGCAAGCTGCTCCTGACGAGACGAGCTGCCAACCTCAAGACATTCCCCGGTGTTTGGGTTCCTCCAGGAGGCCACGTTGAGCTGAATGAAACGGTATAATTGTTACACCCCAACTGCAACAGCTGCTCCAACTATGGCTCATCCATAGTTGGGTAGTCCCAACTACAGTTCGGCTATTGTTACACATGCCACACTGCCAAACTATACTTAGGACTGCCCCAACAATGGTGGAGCCACAGTTGGGGCAGCTGAACAGTTGGGATGTAACATAATGACAGCCATCAACAGTCTTACAACATTAGAACCCCTGCTTGCTCATCAGGTTTTTGCTAGTCACAGAGACGGTCTCACTGTGCCTGACCGACTCACTGACTTGCTGACTGTCACTGGTGACGTAGCCAAGTCGTTGACTAGTTAAGAGAGCCAGGCACTATATGGTATGGGCTCTGTGCGCCAACTAGAGACGGCACTTATTTACCCCCTTCAAGAGCCCCATGGACGGGACACACCGCGTGTTCCTACTGGTTCGCGCACATATGGCGCAAAGTATGCGCAACTAATTTCATCCTGTGCACAAAGGTAATAGCGTCTCCGTGTGAGCGTCAGGCGTCGCCGGCAATGCATTTGAATGTCACTCCAAGTGGTCTCCCCCAACTCTTTGTTCCTTACCGTTGAGAGGGTACTAGTGTACGGAGCCCATAGGATTGCCCAGTAATAGGCTAAATTCAACCCATCGTGTACCCCCAGATGCGTGCATGACTTCAAGTGTTTTGTGGGCTCTGGGACCAGCTCTACCAGGCTTACCTATTCTCGTCAAAACATTTCTGAGCCGCACTCTTCACAGGCAAAAATACGGCTCATTGCTGCCATTTGGTGCAGGTTGCTATGTAATTCAAATGTAACGATCAGCTGTGCCTTTATAAGTACCCATTTAACCTGGGTGGAGGGAAGCCCTATTCTGACAAAGTGTCTTGCCCAAGGGCACACATGCAGTGCAACCCCACTTGTAGGACTTAAGCCCACGATCTGTAGAACGATTACTTAGTATTAATGCACAAGACATGGAGAGCCAACAACGCAAATGTTTCTTTGATATTTTGAAAATCGTTAACGAGTCTGTGATCCACTGCATTAAACTCTGTCAACATGAACCAGACGTCCACAACTGGTTTCATATGGTTACTATAAGACTTAATTCCTGATAATATATGAAACTTTCCTCAAGTTATACAACAGAAAACAAGCTTTGAAAAATACAAGAGCAATGAGTAAATTTTCTAAGGTACATTAAAAACCAATGAGAAGTCATGTGCAAGTGAAATGTGCAGCAAATCAATTGTCAAACATTTATTATTTGACCTTTTCTGTCTAGTTTAAATTGAGTTAATGGGCACCAAATCCTTCATGCCTCGAAAGCAAGATACGGTTCACAGAATATCCCAACTATAGAACTGATAGGGTTTTAAAACATGGTCAATTATGTCTATACCATAATGACAAATCACATGTTTGTTTTTCTTAGCTAACAGAGGCAGGGTTAAGGGAGTTAATGGAGGAAACCGGATTGGAACTCAAAGTTGAAGACTGCAAGGAAACAAGGACAATAGCACTATGGGAGGTAGGTAGATAACAAGATATTTTTTTACTCTTTTTTTTCTAAGAAACAATTACCAGAGTTGTTTGGCTCGTAACTTGAACTCGGGACTTGAGTCCAACTGGAGTCCCATTTTTCGAGCCTCAGACTCGGACATGAGTCATGGCGACAAGCTTGATTCGGACTCAGACTCGACTTTGCAGACTCTGACTCGGACTTTACCTGCGTGACTTGAGACTCAACCAAAATAACCACAAACCACTTATTATTCTGGCAATTACATTTGGAAGACGACCTTTTCCTTCTTGAGCTGTACAATCAGTGCGGTGCAGAAGAAATGCATCCAAGTACTGTGTATAATTAACAGTGCATGCGGATGGCTTGTTTCCGATATCAATGTGAGGTTTAAGCAGTACCTCAAATTTTGTTGGCAATATATAGTACTTATTAAAAGGTCGGACTCGGACTCGGGAGAGGTGACTCGGACTCGGACTTGATGCTTAGTGACTCGAATACAAGTCTGACAATTACACTAAAGAGCATTGCAATCCACTCAACTTGTTGAGGCATTAGAAAAATGCAGGTCTGATCATATGCAAAAAGATTGGTCAGTTGTTGCTGGATATGCACACTTTACTGCCTAGTTGCTGATTATTCATTGATTACTGTCCACTGCTATATCGGGGCCCAATTACATGGCTCTGCTTACCCTTAACGAAAAATCCCTGCTTACTGTAGCAGACGATTTGTGCTTATCGTAAGCGTATTTCACAGGTTAACGACAAATTCTGGCTTCTGCACATGCATACATCCCGTAACTAAGGATTCTGTGCCAACAGGGTGAGCACAGAATTTTTCTGTTAGCACAAAATGGTGATCGTAAGCAGAATTCTGTGGTTAGCAGTGCCATAAAATTGGGCCCAGATATACACTAGCTAGGCAACCCTAGTAAGCGTGGTGGTGAAATTGCACTGGTAATTGGGAGGTCGCAGGTTCAAGACCCACCCAAGCCTCTTGATGGCACTGAGGATGCGGTGCTTACTAAGTTAGTCAGTGGAGGGCTAAATAAAATCTTCAAAATTAAGTTTCTTTATTGAAGTCACCAAACCTTAAAACTTTAGTTTGTATATTGAATTTGCTACCTTTTTATTTTATTATTGTTAATTTTTTATTCGCCCTTTAGTCTGCTTATCCGCCCATGCTTTCTCATGGACTGCCAAAGCGCCACCATGTGGTCATTTACCAGACAGTTCAGGTGTCGGAGGACCATCATGCATTGCAGCAGCGGCTCAAACTCCAAGTCAGTGAGGTCGGGGCTGCCGTGTGGCTGAGCGAGAATATCGTCCATGCCATCGGCTTCAGAGGTTCTGACGAGACTGATGGAGGGAGGTTACCTGATGATATGCCAGAGTCTATAAGGTGCTTTACAATTGCCATAAGTTGTCATTGTTAAATTGTTATCACCACTCCTATCACCAAAACCAACATTACCGTCAATGCCACACTTGTTATGATCTTCAGCAGCAATACCATCAGTGTTACTGTTGTCAGTATCATCACAAGAATCACCACAATCAATGTCACCATTGTCATCATCACAAGAATCACCACAGTCAATGGCACCATTGTCATTATCATCACCAGTATCGCCACAATCGTCACTACCAGAATCCCCACAATTAATGTAACTATTGTCATCAGCATCATCACCAGTATCACCATTATCAATGTCACCATTGTCATCATCACCAGAATCACCACAATCAACATCACCATTGTCATCATCCTCACCACTATTAACAGTCTATGTTAGCATTGCCATCATCGTCACCAGTATAATCCCAATCAATGTCACTGTTGTCATTGTCACAATCATCACCACCATCATCACTACTGTTGTTAATCAATATTAGGTTTTGCCCTTCACTGACGTCGCTCTGATATACGTGATCCCCACCATAATTCATAGCTGTCATATTAATCAAGTCATTATCATTATGATCATTTCACCACTTCTTTCTTTATATTCAATATTTTAATTTATCGTCATCTGTAGTGTTGTCACTGTTTTAAATAATGTACAATTAATATAGTGTTGTAGTAGAGTCCATCACAAGTTCATTTCAACTCTTTATTCACACATATCAGGGGATGAACAATAACAATTGCCTTCATCATAGTTCATTTGGATAGGGTGTGACTTTACTTTGGCAACTGGAAGACTTCTGATAGAATTGTTAGGACTTGTGAAGGACTCAACTACATCACTGGATCATTCTTCTCATGAAAATGTTCATTTTTTTTTCTAGATGCCTTTTCTACAATAGTTTCCAGCTTTCCATCACCTCCAACTATAAAGTTGTTCAACTCATGTCATCTCATTAAAAAAAAATGTTTCATGATGAATGTGTACATTTCTAAGAGACACCGCTATTCCCATCACATCTGCCCTAGGATCTGAATTCTTTGTCGTCCCATTAAACATAAATAATGGTTGTTTTTACAGAGCTACAGTCGTCCATCCCGACACTCAAGAGCAAGTCCAGGAAGACATCCCCACGTCCATGCTCTTTGAAACAGCCCCCTCTATTGGCCAAGACACAGAGAGGATAAGCACTGGCACCAAGTTTGCCATCGAGCAGTGGTGCCGTCTGCACCCAAAGGACAGCTGACACTGACAGTGAGCAACTGCAACAACAACAGTTCACCAAAGTCTCTAGTTGTGTTTTAACCAAAACTCTTGCAAAAACAATGGAAGTATCAAGCTTGGGAGTTTCAATCCAGACAATTACAGATCAATAACAAGTCAATCAAAAGTCAGATAACAAGGAACGGAGGCAAACTGGGACCTGAATGCAGAAAAACATGCAAAACGACATTAGGCCAACTTTACTGACTCTTTAGCTGGCAAAATTCCCTCCTAAATTTCGATAAGGCAAAGACAACTTTCTCAGTATTTCACCAGCCAAGTTTGAGGTCTCAATTCAAGTTTGTAAAGGAGACTGTTCGTCAACATATTGCACCTGAGAGTGAAGCCGAGTGGTTTGAATTTGAAGCCCAAGACTAGACTGGTACATGTCCAACTTTTTGAAAAGATTTACATGTACTGTTAAAAAGTCTGGTGGCTTGACAATTGGGAATGTATAAAAATAGACGCTCGGTACCAGATGTTTCTTTTGACTTCTCTTACTAAGGAGTCTGAGACAGTGTGTGGACTGGTTGTTTCATGTGCCAGTCTATTAGATTAGATTAGCATGATTTTAATACCTTAAGTTTTGGGACTCATACACAGTATTGTGTAAGTCCCAATTTTGCGACAGGAAATTTGTGAAGTTTGTGATTCTTTGTAAGACCAGATGTCTTGTGATTGACATGGAATGACTTATTCCTGACTTAATTACAATGCTATTGAACTCTGATAGGGTAGTTAATGATGCAGTTTTATACTTGACATTAAAATAAGAATACATGTATATTGAAAGTGAAATACCGTTATTCCAAAATACTTCCCATAGATGATTGGAAACATTACATAGGTGGCAGCACACAGGGGTACATTGAGCTGCCCAAATGCGTTTTCACCAACAATTTTAGAACTTGTGCAAATTGTGTTTATCATACTAGTTTGAATCTTATTCTAGTTAAACTGCGTTTACAATAACCAAAATATTCTTAAATTACAGAGGACTTATAATTAATTACAATGTATACCACAAAGGGCCAACACCCATCACAAAATCTACAATGTAATCAATATCTTGAGTAGGTGTGTTAAAGATTTATATGACAGAATTATTTATTTAACCAATATGCTGTAACAAAGAACTAATGCTGTAATGTCGATTGTATTGAGTATTTTGGTATTAAAACTTAACATCTACGCAAATGACATTCATGGTGTTTTTTCTAGGTATTCCTAATGTCAAAGTAGGCGTGTGTGCAACCTCGTTTCCCGTAGTAAACCCTGGGTGGGAAACTTGCTTCCTGTATCCTGATTCGATACAGCAATGGCAAGTAATGGATTTATATCGTGTACTTGGAGTTTTTATTTCCAGCGTGTATTACATACAATGTACATTAAAGGGAATATACATCATTTGCTTTTGCTGTAATTTTCAGAAATGGATGGAATTGGGGGGTTGGAAATATATAGCAAACATAGTTACACTGACTTTTTTGAAGTTTTGGGTTCGAAACTGCTATAAAAACCAAGAAAAAACAATCATTTTCCTGTAGTCTGGTTCCCTGACTCCATATCAGAAGAAACAGAGCAGTTTACATACATTGGGGAATTGTAAGGTCAGGGAACCAGTCTAGCTGGCTTGTACCCGTTGATAGGTGTGTAATCGATTGCAAACAAGTGCGATGGTTAATTGGGGCCAGTATTTGAAAAAAAGCCAGTTTTTTCCAACGCTGATCAGCCGATCAGCGTTGGAAATTGATACAAAAATAGCACTTTTCTTGAAAATGACAGTATACCAGGTGCCATGATTTTACAGGATGCTTTACACTGTCATTCACTAACAGTCCAGCAAGGTATTTCAAAATGATTTGGTAGTTTTATTTTTTGATGTTTGCAAATGTTGTATTTTCCCTTTAATGCGATGGGAATTATTACGTCCACTCCACCTCGGCAATCCCACTTTTCCATTTTGCTTATAATGATATGTAATGTGATACTGCCTTTTGGCTTGTTAAAATTGTTACTTTAAACTTTGAAGAAAATCATGCTTTCGGATCTCACACCACGACGATTGGATGCTGGTTTTTTTACCCTAGACACTGCATACAAAAACAAACACTGATTTTAAAAGCACAGCCAGGCACAAGACTATTCCTAAATTGCATACATGTGCAAAATTTTTGAACATGCAAATGATCCAAAAGCAGGGTTAGAGAGCAGGTAGTGGTGGGAGCGTACTGCTCAACACGAGGGGAATGAGGTTGGGGCGTTTGTTTATGGTGTAAATCGAGGACACACACGTGCAACATCATCGGTGAATCGAGGACAGGAACCGAATCGAGGACGACCTCGATTAGAAAACGTGTACAAAACCAATGAGAGCTGTTGCCAAAAAGGTAGTATAAACAAAGGAAAAAGGAAAAGAGGAACAATAGAAAATCCTCGATTTACACCATAAACAAACGTGAAGGTGTGTGTGTGTCCAGGGGGTCACACCGTTTAATGTGTTTAGCATGCCCTTTAAAGAGTCCTGCACCTAGGTTTTGGGCAAATGACATTGCAGGTATGTCATTAAAAGAAACATCCAACTCGATTAATGTCGTAACCGAGGGAATGTTCCAGGGACAAGGGGATCCTACTCCTAAAGGGGCTCATACCCTCGAAAAGTTATTGAATTTTCGGGTTTGAAACTAGGCTTGACTGCTGTTAGGTCATTTAGAGGCTACAGGGAATTTACACCCTTTGGAGATCCCCAAATAAGGGCTCACATCACACTCTTTAGGAACACCTTTAACGGAAGCCCATTTCTTAAAAATTGGGCTCATCACACCCTTGACGTGAGCCAAACCACCACTCCATTGAAGAGTCTTCAAGATTGGGATGCATTCATCTCACCAAAGGATGTGCCTACATCTTATCAATCGAGTATGCACATCTTGATCATTTCCTTGTTGCCTGTTGAAGGAAGCTGACGCCCCAGAAGAGGTCCATATGGAGCTTCCTCTCGTTCTTCTTGTCGTGTCACTACACTCTTCCTAGTCAATGCATTACACAGGCTCTGGCGCACAGGTTGAAATCCTTGAAATCCTCTGGTTTGCAGGGCTCTGGTAGGGGGGGGGGGGGGCAGTTTAGGAGGTGCTCCATAGTTTGGGGTGCCTCCCGCAGTCACATTCGGTGGGTCCATCATATAGTTGTACCCCCACTTCTGCATGAAGGAGTTGCACCGTCCAACCCCTGAGGCGGTTGAGGAAGAGCCAAACTGGTCAAATTCTTTGGCTCCCACTGGAAGAGTCTCCTTATTAGGGTCTAGTGACAGAGTGTGGGTTTTGATTGTAGTTGTGTCTTCCAAACATCTATTCTGCAGCTGCGGGGGTTGCAATCCAGGGGTTGAACCATATGTAAGAAGCTATTTCGAAATTTTAACCTTCCATAAAGGAGGTTTAACAGTAACCAAAGGTGTTGAAGTTCAGGGGTCATCAAGGGCTTATCTTTGGAGGATCACAACCCTTAAAGAGGGATCAAGTCCTTGGAAGAGGTGCATAACTTGACCTACTTATAGTTGTGAGAGCAAAATGGGGGAAGCGAGTCATGGGCAACCTTTTTGGCAATCATGGCATTACTGCGGTCCAATTTCAGGCGGATGGTTATTGGGGCCTCACCTCTAGAGGGGGTTCCATTGGTTTAACAATGCCTTCCTACCAAATTAGGGGCACAAGGGGGCCACAGCCTCGCGTTTGCCCCACCCCGTCAGTTATGTCACTGCTTAAGGGCACTCACATGTTCCATACCGTTGGACAAGTTCAGCACTTACAAGAACATAAGCAGTAGACTATGTGACACCATGGCAATTCTTAAGGTCTGCATGTCTAGGTGAAATTTGTCTCTAAATACTTTGAATATTTTAGAGCAGCCTGTTTACAACCATCGACTGGCTTTGTGCATTTTATCCCATGTAGCTCCATGTGTTTGTCTCCCGTCTCTGTCGCACTACCCAAATCAATCTTTATTACAATCTCGTATACTCCTGTCTCTTACCTCGCATCCTCGAGAGTTCACCTCACCGTCTCTCCTTCCGTTCCGTTTAATACGTTCTTAATCTCTCACCCCGAGTTCACCAGCCGTTAGAGATTCAATAACCTCCCCCAATTTCCCCCCACACATTTCGCGAAAAACTTGTCCCGAAGCAACAAATCCTGGATTAATTTCCCCCGATTATTGAATCACGCCATTAACACGTTTGCAGGAGCTCGGGCTGTTATCTGCTAGCCTGGTGCTCGAGTCCTGCCAATTGAGTTGCGTGCATCGGGGCGATGGCTGGGCTGAGGCAAAGGCAAGGGCACCCGCGAGTCGGTCAATGACTCTCTGGAAGCCCAATCGCTCTCGCGCCGATTGCTTTGCCCGCCAACAAAACAACATGAGATGGGAGTTATCTAATCATGGCCGCATCTCGGGCTGTAGGCGGCATCAGCACCCAATGTGATACCTGGACTTTAAGCCTGTAAGGTGCGGAGGTAGGGATGACAAGGAGGTTGTTAGGGGAAGGGCCGCACGGACAATGTCCTCTAACAACGACAATCACCCAACGACCGTTACATCAATCCACAACTTCACTTTCGGACAAAATCTGGTTTGGTAGGCCCACGTGAAGTATTTAATTCAAGGACGTTAGAAACACTGCCTGCAACCTGCACTTAATATAGTTGAAATAATTGGCAGCACATGAGATGGCATCTAAAATATTTGGGATGCTACAAAATACCCTAACGTTTTACTTAAAAAAAAACACAGGTGTAAGTCCTACATGGATGGGGTGGTGTGAAGCGAAAGAATAAAATGACCGCCGATCCAGGTTTCTTCCAAAATCGCACGATGAGGCGCACGTTCTTCTACCGCACTCAGATAAATTTCATGCCACATTTATTTAGGACCCAGATTTGCCAACCACAGGAAAAAAATATTTTAAAGCAAAAACAGGTAGTACCGACCAACACTCCGATGTAGAAGTAGAGTGTTTTTTGCAGGTTGTCGCGTGATCCTTTACTTTGCACACAAATTGAAGTCCTGCATTACGCCGAGGTATTAAGACCGAATTTTCGAATTGTTTTGGAGTGCAGAGAGCATGAAATGACGAAGGTGACGAATCTTGCCCAATAGGAACCATTGCGAGGGGGCAAAATGTCAATTACAATTTTATGTGGTAATTTCACCAGGTCTGCATCTCAACATTTCGATGTATGCCGTTTGTGTATCTGTTATAGTAACCACGCAAAATGGTGATTTAACAGGCGACTTTTTCGAGTCGCACACGTCTCCTGTACTACTCGCACCATGCGGGGATCGTTAGAAACGGTGCGGGTGCCGTGATGCAGCTCGGCAAAACTAGGTTGTTATATCACCATTTTGTGTGGTTATTTCACCAACCAGCATTGGCCTACAGTATCTTAACATTATGATGCGAAATGCACAATGGCCATAGTGTTCCAGATGAAATAACCACGTAAAAAGGTACTTTAATAGGTGACGTTTTCCGAGACGTATATACGTATCCAGTATGTTTACTTTTTCTAATGATGCCATTTCCAATGGTATTGGTCCCTATATGTAACGGTATGCTCCTGCACCACAGAGCGCACAAAACGAACATCTGGATACCAACTTAGTCTGTGGTGATAAAGCGGTTTTAGGCGTTGAGTTCACCTCACCCTCAACTCTCCTTTTCCGCTATGTCACTTTCAATCTGAGGGTAAAAGAAAACTCTTAGAATCTATCGCTCAACGAAGAAGGCATTGTTTACATCATGATGAATTAGATGCCAAAACTTTGAATGACAGGGGTCTAACATTCATTTCCGCAGTGAAAGTGGGGCGTCAGTTTAACGACATTGCCTTTGATCATACATAATCGTTATCCGTTGGCAGTTACGACGAAGACTTCTGCTAGCTTCATTTTCGTACCTTACGTGTGTTCCCTTAGAACTATTTACCCGCTTTTGAATTTTAACGTTTTCAATGTTCCATTATACTTTCCCTTTATATATCTTTCCCAATTTTTCTTTTGCGTTTTCGAATGTGCACGTACATAGCCTATACCCTTTGTATCTGAGGATGCTCCCATACACGTGTATCGTTTGTGCGTCTGCCATCTCCATGTCAAAATGCGTTTCCTGCTTTCTCCGTTTTTCACTTCTCTATTACTTTCCTTTGTCTTG